TGTCTGGTTCATCAATGTCTATTGCATCTCCAGCGGGCCCAAAAACAATAGAAGGAATGTTGAACCCAGAAAAGACGAGCAACATGGCCAACATGCAGACGATGCAAGTAACATTAACAGCTATTCAGGAAACGATGCTTAAAATGCAGGAGGCAATGGTTAATAACCATACAGATATGAAGACGGAAATGGGAGAAATGAAGGGTAAGATTCAAAATTTAGAGGAGAAGATGGGAACGATCCAACAGACACTGGAGAAGAATGAACAAAGAATAAAGAATATAGAAACTAAAGCTGAACAAACAGATAAGAGATTGGAAAGGATGGATAGGAAAGTAATAGAAATGAACGTTGATAAGGTTAAATTTAGAAGATTCGATTATCCATCTCGAAATGGAACGTGCAGCATTCTATTTGAGGTTCCAAAATGTATTTGGAATCCAAAGACAAAGACCTGGGAGACATAATGTCCCACTTAATAGCAGAGGCATTGCAAAGGGACCAACAGGAAATAGTGAAAGAATTAGATGAGGTCTACCGAATCCATACAAACTATGCCAGACGAAACAAGCTGCCTAGAGAGGTCCACATCAGGTTCGCCAGAAAAAATGTAAGAGATATTGTATATAGAATCACAAAGGACGAGCTGATGGTATATAAAGAAAAAGAGATCACGACCTTGAAACAAATTCCGAGGCGGGTAAGAGAGTTGAGGAAGGACTACAGATCTCTGGCAATACTCCTGAATAAACGAAACATCTGGTTCCGATGGCTGGTCCCTGAAGAAATGCTGGTGACGTGGCAAGAAAGAAGAGTAAAAATTGATAGTATTGAAAAGGCGCAAGAACTTTACGATCAGTTGATGGAAACAGAGGAAGAGGGGAGCAGCAAAGAAGAATCAGAAAGCAAGAGTCAGGAGGACCAACAAGAAGACCAGCAACAGGGAATACAGGAAACGGACCAAGAAGAGAGAGGCAAAGAAAAGAGAGAGTACTCAAGGAGAGAAGGACTAAGAGTAAGACCCCAAAGAGAAGCAAGAACAGAAGATTTAGGTAGACTCAGAATTAACAATGGAAGAAGAGATTAAATTACTCTCAATAAACATCAATGGATTAAACTCCCAGATTAAGAGGAAACAAATATTAACCAAACTAACTAAACAAAACATCGATATTATATGCCTACAGGAGGTACATATCCCAAAACAGCATAAAAAATATCTAAAATATCCCAAGTTGGGTGTATTATTTACAGCATTGGCAGATCAAAAGAAAAGGGGCGTAGCAATTTACGTAAAAAAGGGATAAACGCAAAAAAAATCTATGCAGATGAACAAGGCAGAATTTTAATGATACAAATTAATTTACATCAAAAACAATTACTATTAGTGGGGATATATGCCCCTAATGATAACCAGAAGAAGTTTTATAAGGGACTGTATGATAAAATAATTAGTGTAGGTGAAGAAAATATTTGCTTGATAGGGGACTTTAATGCCATTGTTGATGTTAAAAAAGACTATATTAGTATGGAAGGGACTAGGAAGAAAAAAAAGAGAATTCTACTAAAAAAATTTGTTGATTTAACACATGAGACCAATTTGGAAGATATATGGAGGAAGAGGAATCCAAATGAGAAGAAATATACATTTTATTCTAGTCCACAAAAATCATGGTCCAGAATCGATATGGTATGGGTTAATGGGGCAATCGAGAAAGACATTAGTGAAGTATAGATAATGCCTAATATATGGGCTGACCATAGCCCGGTTAAAATTACATGGAAAGGACATAGTAAAAGGAAAAGGAGATGGATATTAAATTCACAAATAACAAAGGAAAAAGACTATATCTCAAGAATTAAAAATGAGTTAGAAACATTATTTAAGGTTAATTTAAAACAACATACTAGTTTACAAAATTTATGGGACACTACAAAGGCCTTCGTGAGAGACATCAATAGCCTATATAGCTAAGAAAAATAAAGAAAAATGGAAGAAACAGAACGAATTACAAGAAAGGATTAAAAAAAAATTGAATATGAGCTCCAAAAAGACCCCAAAAATATGGAAGTTAAGAAAGAAATAGGGATGATTAGACATGAACTAAATTTGATAGACATTGAGGAAAATGCACGTAACTTAAAAACTCTTAAACATAATTTATTTGAATCAGCAAATAAACCAGGAAGGTGGTTGTCCCATAAATTAAAAACAGAGAAGGAAAAAAGACTAATTCAGCAACTCAAGGATGAGGAAGGGACAGTGTATTATCAGATGGAGGAGAAAAAGAGAATTGCGCAAAGGTATTTTGGTGAGCTTTATAAGCAAGAAGATGTTATGGAAGAAAACATTAGATACTACTTGGAGGGAAACGGTCTGAGCCCAATCTCAGAAGAAAACAGAGAAGTACTTAATAAAGAAATAACATTAACAGAGTTACAAAAGGTGATACAAAAACAAAAAGTAATAAAACACCAGGTGGTCTACCAGGCGAACTATACAAAAATTTATCTGAAATATTTGAACCAATATTACTGGAACTATATAATGAGGCATTAACGCAAGCTAGACTTCCAAGGTCCTGGTCCGAGGCATACATCTCCTTAATTGCAAAAGATGACACTGATCAACAACTAATTGTGAACTATAGGCCAATCTCGTTGCTAAATACGGATTATAAGATATTCATGACAATATTAGCAGAAAGAATGAAACCAATTTTGAGTGAACTTATACATACAGACCAGAATGGTTTCCTGCCAAATAGACAAATTAAAAACAATATTAGGACAGTACTAAATTCAATTGAATATGACGAAGCTCACCCAGAAAAACAGGCAGCTTTAATTTTTTTAGATGCACAAAAAGCATTCGATAATCTCAATTAAGTGTATTATTAAATGGAGATCGTACTGAAGATTTTGAAATTGCAAAAGGAGTGAGACAAGGGTGTCCATTATCGCCTCTGTTATTTATCTTGTCTTTAGAAGTGTTGCTAGCTGCAACCAGACAAAACCCAGAGATTTATGGAATTAAAATTAGAAATGAGGAATATAAAGTTCAGGCATTTGCCGATGATTTGGTATTTATAGTGGAAGATCCAATGAATTCGGGACCAATATTGTTACAACAAATAGAAAAATTTTGGGGAAGCGGCAGGATTTAAAATAAATAAAAATAAAACTAAGATGATAGTCAAAAACTGTACAACAAAACAGAAAGTAGAATTAGAAAACATAATAGGACTGCAAATAGTAAAAAAGGTGAAATACCTGGGAATTTGGATATCACCCAGATGTCCATCATTAAAAGAGGACAATTATGTTAAACTGATTAAGCAAATCAGAAAGAATTGGAATTATGGGCCAAATTGAAACTGTCTATATTAGGAAGAATAGCAACGTTGAAAATGAATACCTTACCAAAACTAATATATCTATTCCAAATGATTCCAATTAAATTAGGGAAATCTTTTTTTATAGAACTAAATAAAATGACATCCAAGTTTGTCTGGTTGGGCAAGCGGCCACGTATTAAAATGAAACTATTACAAGATAATAGGAGTAGAGGCGGTCTTGGACTACCAGAATGGGAGCTTTATTACCAGGCAGTGGTGTTGAGTTGGATTAAGGATTGGGTTAAATTAAGAGACAAGAGAATCTTAACATTAGAAGGACATGACCTCTTGATAGGTTGGCATGCATTTTTGTGGGAAAACAAAAGTAATATACATACCTATTTCAATCAACACCTAATAAGAGACTCATTGATTACAATTTGGAAAAAAATCAAAGGTAAACACTATACAGAAATCCCACGATGGCTGTCAACCATGGAAGCCATAATACATCCAAATAGATTAGACCTACGGAAAATGGTAAGCTATGAAGAATTATTAGATAGTCAAGGGAAATTAAAATCAAACCAAGAACTGAAGGAAAATGGAATTATAATCGATTGGTGGCCATATTTGCAAATTCAGAATAAATATAAAAAAGACTCAAAAGATTTTGGATTTGACAAAGGGCAGAACCAATTAGATAAAATATTAATGGGACCGGAACAAAAACTTATAACTAAAATATATAAAAATTTATTAGATTTTAAAATGGAAGAGGAAATAGTCAAAAGTACAATGATTGCATGGGCACAGAACTTTGGATACACTATAGAATTAGAGGAATGGGAGAAAATATGGAACATAAATTATAAGTTTACGGTATCTGCAGCATTAAAAGAAAACATATATAAAATGTTTTATAGATGGTATTTAGCTCCAACAAGATTGGCAAAAATCTACTCCAACATGAGTCCCAAATGTTGGAAGTGCAAAAAAGTTGATGGTACATTTTATCACATGTGGTGGATGTGCCCCGAGGCCAGGACATACTGGATTCAAATTAAAAATTGGTTAAAAGAGATCACTGGCTATCAGATTGAGCTCAGACCGGAATCCTTCCTTTTAGGAATCATCAAAGAAAGATTACTGAAAGAAGTAAAATACTTAGTGTTACATATTACAGCAGCTGCCAGAATAGCCTTTGCGCAGGTATGGAAAACACCAAATACCCCCAATGAAGAACTAATAATACACAAAGGAACAGAAAGTGCTGAGCTGAATACGCTAACAATGAAATTGAAAGAAAAACACGACTCTGAATTCTTTACAATTTGGAACAATTGGTATAAATGGCTAACAAACAGAACCAAGAAGTGAGACAAAAATGTTAATTGAAACAACCCATAAGAAAGTAAAATAAAATTTTGTAAACTATATAAAGATATAAGAATAGTAATTATAGCTAAAGATATTATTTAATAGTAGACAAATGCCATATAATGTATTATGATATTTAAACCAAAACCCTGTATAGATGCCAAGAACGTTGTTGATACCATGATGTTTTACGATGTTTTAAGAAAATTAGTAAAAATATATTTTTTTAAAAATGTCTAAGTTAAATTTCTGTAGTTTAGTTATCGTTTTTTTCCTCTTAATTTGTGAATTTAAACCATTGATGTTAATTGAAATCAATTTGATTTCTTCCACCATCTTACTCTGTAGTTGTTACTTGTTGAAGCTTGTTTGCTCTTGTTTGGTGTCTCGTTCTTACGCCTTCTCTTTCCACTTCTTCCTGTTCTCTTTCCTCTTGTTCTATTTCTCTTTCTTCCACCCGACCTTCTTCTTGGCTCATGGTTTCCACTTCCTCATTGCTGTTCTGGTCTTCTCCTGATACCACATACAGTTCAAAAAATTCCCTCGCTTTTTCTATACTATCTATTTTAAATTTTTTATCCTGCCATGATATTAACATTTCCTCTGGGATGAGCCATTTGAACAGGATGTTATTCTTATTCATTTGGGCGGTCAGGAATCTATATTTCTTTCTTTGTTCCCTTATTCTTCTTGGAATTTGTTTCAACGTTACAAATTCTGTTCCCTTAAATATCAGCAGTTCGTCTCTCGTCACTTTGTATATCTCATCTCTCAGTTGTTTCTTTAAGAATCGTATATGAACCTCTCTTGGAAGTATAAAACATCTCGTATCTATTGTATCTATTTCAAACGATTCCAATAAGACTGAAAAAAAATATTTTGAAGATTTAAATAAAATGATGATGAAATTTATTTGGCAGGGCGGAAAGGCAAGAATCAAGATAAAATTACTACAGGAAGCAAGGTTGAGTGGGGGTTTTGGATTACCCAATTGGGAATTATACTATCAGGCAACAATATTGATGTGGATGAAGGAATGGATTGTATTGTATTGAAAAATGCCAGATTACTAATGTTACAAGGACATGATTTACAATTGGGTTGGCATGCATTTTTATGGTATAAAGAAAGTAAGGCACATGGATATTTTAGGAGACATTATATTAGAGATGCTTTATTAACAGTATGGGAAAAGATAAGAGACTATCATTATTTGAAAATACCTGTCTGGTTATCAACTTTTCATATCCACAGCTATTTAAAAAGGAGCACATAATTAGATATGATGAAATTTTAAACAAAAAGGGTGAACTCAAAACAAAGCAAGAATTTGATTTACAAGGGATAAATATAAATTGGTACTCGTATTTGCAAATACACACAAGGTATGAAAAAGACATTAAGATGACTGGGTTTTATAAGGAATTGACTGAATTAGATAAAATCCTAACAGGCACTGATGAGAAGTTGATTAAAAAACTATATGGTTATCTATTAGGAGTGAAGTTAGAGGATGAACAAGTAAAAGAAGCAATGATTGTGTGTGGGAAATATTTTGGATATGGAATAGATCTTGATAAATGGCAGATATTATGGTCTAGAAATTATAAATTAACTATGTCAATGGCCTATAAAGAGAATTTGTATAAGATGTTTTACAGGTGGCATCTATTCCCAATGAGAATTGCTAAGATGTTTGAAGATAAGTCGGCGAAGTGTTGGAAATGCCAGAAGTTACCAGGATCATATTACCACATGTGGTGGACATGCACAGAGACTAAAAAGTATTGGGCTAAAATACACATGTGGCTGGAGAAGATGATAAAACAACCTATAGACTTAAAACCAGAGACATATTTATTGGGAATTTTGCCTGAGGGTTATAACAAAGAAATAACTTATTTGATTTTTATTTTAACAGCAGCTAGGATTGTATTTGCACAAAATTGGAGAAATGAAAAAATTCTGACAGAAGAGGAAATAATTAAGAAAATAATGGAATGTGCAGAAATGAGTAGATTAACAATGGCAATTAGGGAACAAGAAGAAAAAGACTATTATAAAATTTAGAATCTATTTTATGAATGGTTGGATAGAAGAGCAAAGAACTGAATTATAAAAGTATAGTATAACATATTGTTACTGATAAATAGATGAGTTAGAGTAAGAAAATGAACTTGAAATATATTATTGAAAGTTAAGGATTTAAAAGTTAAGGATAATAGAATAAGTGACATATGTGATATAAAATGGAGATGCGAATGCTCCGATGGTCGGTAGGCCTCACCCTACTCGATCGCGTCAGGAATGAAGAAGTGCGCAGACGGTTCAACGTCGTGCCCATCCCCACGGTCATGAGGCAGTCCCGGCTACGATGGTTCGGCCATGTGAGTCGCGCCAAGGAAGAATCCATCATCAAATCTGCGATGAAGGTGATTGTCGGAGGAGCGAGACCGCGTGGTAGACCTAAGCAACGCTGGATGGACACGATCAAGGCCGATCTAGAGATCGCGAAGGCAGACCCGACATACGTGGCAGACAGAGAGGCGTGGAAGCAGTACTCAAGGACATTAGCGGACCTCGCCAGAGCGCGAGACAAACGCTGAAGAAAAAGAAGAAGAAGAAGAAGATGTGATATAAAATATTGATAAGAACAATTATAAATATATACAAGTTAAATATGTATGATATTATTTTGTGCATGAAGAAATATGTACTCAACTGACACACTGGAACAGAAAGAAGGTTTTATGTTTGTTTTTGTTGTTGTGATAAAAATAAAAAACTTTTATTAAAAAAAAAATCGAAAGGGTGGTGGGACTACAAGTGACAAAAATTAAATATTTAGGTATATGGCTGACGGCCCAATGTAAGACATTAATGGAGAACAATTACAACAAATTACTACAACAAGTAAAAAAGGACCTAGAATTATGGGCTAAGCTGCAACTTTCTCTATTGGGGAGGATTGCTGCCATAAAAATGACTATTTTACCAAAATTTATATGTCTATTCCAGACAATACCAATTAGAATACAGAAAAATTATTTTTTAGACGTAAATAGGATTATTGCAAAATTTATCTGTCAGGGCAAAAAACCTAGAATAAATCTAAAAGCGCTACAGGATGTGAAGAGCAGGAGTGGTTTGGGACTCCCGAACTGGGAGTTATATCATAGTGTAGCATCTCTGGTCTGGCTGAAAGAATGGGTGAATCTACCCAATAAAAGAATATTAATTCTAGAAGGTCATGACTTGCAGAGGGGCTGGCATGCCTTTCTGTGGGATACGGGGACTACTAAACAGAAATATTTCCATAGACACTTAATTAGAGATTCTTTATAATGTAACTGGAACAAAATTAGGAAAAAACATTATACAAAGATCCCCCCTTGGCTATCAACAATGGAAGCGATCCATCTCAATAATTTAGACATGAATAAGATGATAAAATACAAAGATCTATTAGATATACAAGGAAACTTGAAAACATGGCAGGACCTCCAGGAACAAGGGATACAAACTGATCAGTGGGCTTTTCTTCAAGTGCAAAATAGGTACAGACAGGATACGAAAGAATATGGAATACATGTGAAACCACAACAATTAGATAAAATTCTATTAGGCCCAGATAAAAAAAAATATCTAAAATTTATAACTATTTACTGGACATAGAGTTAGAAGAAGAAATAGTTAAAGGTAACATGATAGCCTGGAGCTGAAATATTGGTCGTAGTATAAATTTCTGCAGAATGGGAGAGTGTTTGGAATAGAAACAACAAAATTACAAAATTGGCAACATACAAAGAAAATGCCTAATAAATGTTTTATAGATGGCATCTGCCCCCTTCGAGATTGGCGAAGATGTACCCCAATATGAGTCTGGCATGTTGGAAATGTAAAAAAAAAAAGGATGGTACATTCTACCACATGTGGTGGTCCTGCTCAGAATCCCAAAAATATTGGTTGAGAGTAAAAAAAAAATGGTTGGAAGAAATCACGAAGGAACAAATTGAATTAAAACCAGAATTGTTCTTATTAGGATTATTTAAGGAAAAATATGCTAGAAATGTAAAATATATAATATTACATATACTGACTGCAGCCAGACTGGCATACACCCAATGTTGGAAACAGTCCTATACTCCCCCAGACGAAATGGTAATCCAGAAGATAATGAGTTGTGCAGAAATGGATAAAATAACTCTAGCCTTAAAGGACAAAGAATTATCAGAGTATTACAGGATTTGGGAATATTGGTATGAATGGATTGAGCGAAGACAGAGTGTTATAGTAAATAGCAAAAGAAGATGTGCACTAGTTGTAGTAAATATATATACGCATAATATAATAGTTGTAAATACAGCACAATATGTTACAAATGAGGAATCACAATTTGTCGTTGTTGAAGATCTTTTAATCTGTTTTATGTTGTTTGTTTTGTTTTAATTGATAAAATTAATAAAGTTTGTTTAAAAAAAGATCTGGGGGGCTGCAATCTAAATTCCAGAAATAGGCCATGTCTAATTGTCTTCAAAACCCAAGCATGTAGTAGTCTCCCATTGGGCAGCAAAATTGGATAACCTGCCCCCAATGGGAGAACTACTGCTACATTCAGCAGGAGCACCTGAAAAAGCGACTTCCTCCCCCACAAAAGGGCCGCTTGCCTGTAAATTGTGGTCTATCCCTGGCTGCTCTTTCTTGGGGGCGTTCTTGATGGTTGAAGGGCTGTCTCAGACCCTTGAGCCCCAGAGCTGCCCTCTCCTCTGAAAGAGGATCTGTGGATATAAGGCACAGCTCTGAAACTGGAGCGCCTTGCTAGAGAGAGGAGGTATTTCTTATCCCTGGTCTCTACGTGGGGATCCAAGATGTCCCCCCAAAATTTGTCCCCTTTGATAGGGGAAGATGCCACCTTCCACTTTCGTCGCCCATCAACTTGCCAGTTCTTAAGCCAGATCATTATGCGGGCTGCAATTGAAGTGGCAATGGCCTTAGAGGCAAACCTGGCATTGTTTAGGGATGCATCAGCAGTGAATTTGGCCGCAGCCACTAGTTTGTGAATGTCTTGGTGAACCCTGACATCTGTGGCTGGAACCCTGTCTTGTAGCTGGTGTAGCCACCGTAAAGAAGACCTGATAAAGAAAGAGGCAGCTGAAGCCACTTTACCACCCAGGCAGTCGCCAGGTGTGTGCATTGAAGGGATTGTTCAATCCTCTTGTCTTCTGCCTTTAATGCCTCCTCTGGATCCGCAGGGTTTGAAGAAGCAGAAATCAAAGCTGCCACAGGGGCATCCACAGATGGTACTTGTAAGGAACTGGTGAGTTCAGGCCCCATAGTGAAAAAGCTACGCTCATTGGCAGATAACATTGTAGATGTGCCTGGGGATTCCATTTGTGTCTTGATAACATTCAAGAATAGTCTGGGAACTGGAACCATTTCAGGCCTAACTG